CAAACCTCTTCAAGTCAAACTTGCAGATAGCTGGAAAAAAATCGAGGTAGTAAGGCTTCCAGTTTGGGAAAGAAACACTTATGCTTGGGGAAAGAAATAATAATTAAAGGAAACTGTGATCGGCAATATTCTAGACCTCAAATAGCTTCTTGAATGATTCGACAGGATCCTGAACTTGAAGAAAAGGGTTTATTTGCCCAATTGGTCTTTTACTTTCTTTCAAAAACACATCAAGCTCATTTTCAGTGCTTTTGCTTTCCTTTTTCAATAAAATAATAGAAGACCTCCAGCGGACAATTAGAATTATGAAGGCTTGAGAGGCATTTGATGTAGGAAGGTTCAGGTTATCAAGGTTCCCTGGGAGAAGTGCCGTCTGTTACGAAATTGTGCAGGACTCATACATAGGAAGACTTCTTTTACGTGATTGGATTTCGGATGCTTTCGTAAGTTTGAATTTGAATTCAGGAAGTGTTTCTGTCATGCATTCTGTGATTTCCCTTCTTAACGCGATGCAAGTTTTTTTTTTCTTTTGGTGCAAAATTTCCATATCTCTAAACTCTGCCAAGAGTTGGCATGGCTTTCTCTCGCTACGCATTCTTCTTTATATTTACAGGTATGTACATGGAAATTTGTAAGGTCATCTGGAAGGACGCGATTTCCTTGGTGATGCTCTTGGAATTCATTCATTAAAATGGTGCTACGCTTACTAAAATATGGTACTGTAAAAAATGTACTGTATCTTCGAATACGGGTAAGGGAAAATAAGTGTGGAGATGCTTTTTTTTACTGCTCATGAATATACTGCTCAACATTCATGAATAAATGTTCAGTTTTGATCATTGAGTGGTCTTTTCGAGTTATTCTGATTGGCAGCCTGCTAAATTTAAATCAGCTAGGTCACATCTTAATAAGGAAGGAAAAATGAATTACGTTAAGTAAATCAGAAGATAACACTGCTCATTTCACTGAAAAAAGCTAATCAAAACCAAATTTCTGTAAAGCATAATTTCATTAAACAAGAGCTGGATGTAAAATTAATAATCATTTCAGATGATAAACGCATTCATTTCATATCGTTCCAGGGGGTTCTTTTGGCGGGTAAGACTTGCTTTTAAACAGGTTAGAGTTTGAATCATGCATGTGAAAAAAGTTCTTTGAAACTTGATCATTCCTGCGTTTGGTTTTCCATAGCAAAACTGGGAAACTTATATCAAAATCAAAGAAAACTCACCCACCTAGCAATATTTTCTGTGCTGCATTGCTAGGTATATTTTTCTGCCTGACTATCGAAAACACCACACACGAAATTGAAACCAGAAATATTCATCCAAGGCATGAAACAACAAAGAAAATTCTGGCCATTTGATTAACGTTGGGTGTAAATGCAAAGCCTATATCTTTCAGGCATGACGATCAACTGAATAAGAATGGAATGAACTGCAAATGTTGCAATTTTACTTCTTGGCATATTTCAAAAATGAATTGCATGAATATATGCAGATTTTAGTGTGCTAGATTATCTAGCCTAGATCTATGCGATTAGTTTGGGAGGAGGATAAAAAAGTAGGAGTATTCTTTTGCTTTTTATGATGCAACAAAGCAAACCTCTTTGCTACTGCTGCAGAAAAATTGAAGTTGCAGGGAAAAAAGTCTAGAAAGACAATATATGAAATTCCAAAAAAAAAGAGTTTTTATGAAATGGATTACAAGTTCACAGCAATTTGTTCAAGTAGATAGAAATGAAGATTTGGGAGTAAAGCTCCGAAGAGTGGTTTTATGGAAGCACATTTCTCCAGCATTTAATCTTCTGAAGCAAATGAAAAAAAAAAAAAAACTTGTGTTCATTCTTGTACAGTACGCACAGGTACACCAAATATTTTCCACCACAGACTCAAGAAGTTTCCTGCTGACCACCCAGTTGAAGAACACCAACTTCGAACACAGAAAATCGTAAACAGAAATTTTTGATAGCCTCCGCTGGCCTTCATACTCGGCCAACTGCTCGAATGTGACTGAACTCAGTGGTCAGCTGAGGAATCCCAACGAAGCACGCCGAGTGCCGCCCGCCTGAACGTCTTTCCTTTTGCAGGTTGCCAACTCCAGAGATGTGTGGATGGAGTTGCTGCTTTGCCTCACCAAACCCTCCCTCCCTTCCGCCTACATCTCACACATGTCCCTCTTTGAGCTACGCTGGTTGCGTCCGGCGCAAACCGGGGTGCGCAACTGCGTACGGCAAGGGAAGGAGGGAGAACCTCTTCTTCGGTTTGTGGTTCTTGGTCTGGTAACTCCTGTCTCGAAAAATTGGGTTCGTCTTTAGGGCCTTTCTGGGTGCTGCATGCTGCTGCCGGTGAGGGAACAGTGCTGGGTTGGTCAGTCTGGCATGGGTCACCGGCTTGGCAACTCATGGATGCTGATGTCTGCATGAATATGTGATTCTGGATGACTGGATTCTGAATGACTGGAAGTTTGTGGAATGAAGCATTTCTTCAAGTCATAACGTTTTGAAATTTGGGATTCAGCGACTCCTGATTTTCTTCGAACTGCATGAATAGAGAAACTAGAGTACCATAAGTTATGTATGACAGTCCTGCGAAAACGATTCTTTGGGGGTCCCATATGTTCAGGCGACATCTAGGTTATGTTAAAAACGCTTTCTCGCCATCTTCGGCGTTCTTCACTTAGGTGAGGTTCGTTTGTCAGGAATTCGCTGGGGCACATGATGAAAAATTTATTCCGATGTTGAGTTTATTGGCATTTAGTTCATTTTTTTCGATTTGGCCAAATCATGACTAACCCAAAGCAAATTTGAGGTCTAGAATTTTCACGAGCAAATGTATAGCGAAATTTCAGGCAAGCCTATACAGTATTTGCTATTTCCAAGTTTTTCCTGTTTATCTGTAGCGCATTGTAGCACCATTCACTTTCCACACTAAGTATTTTGCCTGTAAATTAAAGTCTACGAGAGGAAGCAATGCATATGTGGAAAAAGAAGTACGGAAGATGTGATTCCGAGATTTTATGGCGAGTAAAATTCAAGTACCCTCAAGCAAAGAATTCTTTCGATATCAGATCTTGCTTGAGGGAACCTGAATTTGAGCTTTCAGAACTTTGAATTTGCTCTGTATACGGGGACTTGGATTTTCTGCGGCATTGTTTCTAGCATGATCATGCATATTCATGCTAGAAAACAATTTCTAATCAAAAGGCCTCTTTGTGCGGCCGAACAGGCAAAGTCCCGTCTCCAGAAAATGGCAAGGGTTAGAAATGAAAACTGGTTTGCCCCCAGTATCGCCGGTATATCCAAAGAAAATAAATGTCCACTATATAGTCGCGGCAAACGCCAAGGGGAAAAAAATATACAGGTAATCAGATAAAATAAAATAAAAATCCAGGGCAAGAAAATATTCGGCTCCCAGGATTTTTCCCCTTTTCCAACTTCCCTTGGTTTTTACTGGTCCTCGTTGCGGATTGCAAGTCCCTTCACAACAGTCTTCAGTGCGATCTCGTCTAACTGTGAATTGATTGGCTGCGATCTCGTCCCATTACTCTACAGTATTTAAATATAATATGCTTACTCATTAAAAATACAGAATTCAGTTTTCTTCAAATATTGAAACAATAACATTATGCTGTCCGCGATAATAGAAACACGTTGCTCGTAAATCATGATACAGTATTTGGGAAAAGCGAGCCAATTAAAACTTTAAAACAATTCGTGACTTTTCCTCATATTATTAAAAGTAGAATTCAGATTGATTCAAGCATTGAGACCAATTTGCTGGCAGCGCGATAATAAGAACATCTCATGCATCACGTTACAGTATTTATTTAGGAAAACCAATGGAATTAAAAAGGCAAAGAATTCGTGCTACTTGAAATTGGTGTCAATTTGCGTCGCGTTTGAACAATTTTATCGGTAATACCAACGAAGGCGAAATAAATTGAAGAAAAGAAGGGCAAAGAAATTCTTCAAATTTAAAAACGTATATGGACCCACCCTTCGAGTCTAAAATGCCGAATTCCGTAATTGACGCCTTTTTACTTCTTTCCCATTCTCAAGAGGTCCGACCACTAATTGATTACTGCAAATTATACACCCTTGAAATGTAGATAGAAAGAGGAATGTAGACCCTAGTTCGTTCCTTGTTCTATGTTTGCAATCTCTTCCAAAAGCCCAAAATTCGATCGCCTTCGGCATTATCAGGGGATCTGCATTTTCAAGTTTGGGGCCCCGGCATGCGGACGTAATTGGTGTGGATTACTTTTTTCCTTAGACTTTATTCACTGATGGGAATACAGTATATTCAACTGGTCCACCTGTTGATCAAAAAGCCCACCACAAATTGAATAGAAAAATTGTTCTCGACCTCAAAATACAGGAAATAGTATTTCAGAAGAAAATCACGCAAATCTAGTTTATTTATTTTGGCATAGCCCGAAAACCAAGATATAAGCATAAGTATTCCTACACTGTGCTCATATGATGGAAATAACTCTGAAAAAAATAAGCACAAAATGTGTCTGTTTTTGGATGGTGAATTATAGGGAATTTAAAACAAAATTTATTTTTAATACATTATAAAGTAACTGGGCATGTAAAAGAACAATTTTTTCCAGGTATCAAAGTTTTGTAAAGAATGATTCGTCCATTTTTTCCAGAAATGTTAACCAAGTGTTCATATCTCGAGACATTGTAGTGTACGAATGTTTGCGCAGATTTTTTGAGTTTGAAGAGCTCCGAAGTCGAATACTATGGTCCTCACGTTGAGGGTGTCCGCATGTCGGGGCTCCACTTTTCAGGATCACAGTTTTTCGGGGGATTTGTCTCTCTTGGCAAGTTATCCAGCAAAGTGTAAACGTGTTTCCAGCAGGAATTACTGTATAAGCAAAATTGACGATTGAAAAGTAATATCATCCAACAAAATAAAAGACACCCTTTCATTTTGCATTCGAATTTTTTTTTCCATTCATATGTGATGCATTCGCACGCGGGTGGCACATAAATAAGGATGCAAAAACCGGCGAGATGTCGTCGCATAGCGTGGCTTTTTGCAATGATGGCCATTGTGCAAAACGGCGTTCGAGGTGCAGAAATTGAAGAAAAAAAGAGTGTTCGTGGTCAGGGAACGATTCTTCTCCTCGACGAAGATAACTTTACAGAAGCTGTCCAGGAGCACAGTGACTTGCTAGTGCTGTTCTGTGAGTATACTGCAGTGCAGTAAAATAAGTAAACTACAGTATCTCAACAATGACCTCGTCTAAAACGATTTACGCTGTATACATTGAAAATTTTGTAGGTCCCATATAGGGGTCTCTTTCCTTGTTACTAGGGTTCTCTATATGATGAAATTCTCTCTATAAAGAATTTATCTGGTTTTATAAGTTTTTTTTGGTAGAGAGAGAAAGTCCTATTGTATATGTGTTTTAAGGGGGAGGGAATTTATTTTCTGAACACTCCTGTACATCAGGTGGTACCTTGAAATTTGACCCTAATCCATTGCTGAACTAGGATCAAATTGCACAGTGGTCAAATTTCAAGACAACGTCAAATGGCACGTTTTTGACATGGCATTTGATGTTTCATGTGTCTCCACCGGTCAAATTGAGAGCCAACCTCCCAGCATATTTCACCATTAAATTGCGGGAGGTCAAATTGCAAGGTACCACCTGTATCTGATACAATGGCATATTGACATACATGCCATACTACATAAACTGTCCAACCTTTTGCATGAAATCTTGATGAAATGTTATTTTTTAAACAGTTCTCATTTTACTGCATGCTGATAAGTGAAAAATTTCCAGTTATGGCCAAAGTTCTTTATCAATGTCACTGGGTGCTGAAAATTCGTCAGATCAGTTGAAAATTGAACCCTATTTTTTCTTCATTGTTTTCACCTTCACCTAAAAGGCAGGAAAGATACAGTGGTTAAAAAATTTCTTTTTGCAGGTGGCCTGAACACTATTTTGCACCCTCTGACACAATTTAAAGTTAAATAGTTGGGAAAGTTTGGATTCTACCAGGAATCCCCAGCCTTGCCCCAGGCTGATTCTGTGTTTCTATTTCTAATTTTCATGATCCACAGCTTCTTTCTCTTTTCTTGTGTTGTGGTGACTGTTGTCCCCAACAGACATGGGTGGAGAACCGTGGCCATAAATGGAAAGGTTTTACTGATCAGCTTGCAGTAAAATGCAAAATGCTTGTGAAAATAAGAACCTTGAAGCATAATATGGGCTATATAATGATTTTTTTACAGTAATACATAATCTATGAATAACCCAGGTCGTGCCCAAGTGGGACAACCCTTGTATAGACACTGTACACTTACAGTACTCAGTAAACTCAAAACTGCTGATGGACCTTTGATGCATAAAAGAATGCATTCGAATCACATGCAGCGCCATCTCTTTTTTACGAGTGGGCTCAGTTTAGATAACTTGATTGTGTGGTAATTCTGACAAAGAACTTCAGGTTCCCGGAAAATTAGAAAATCCATGTTCTCGAATACTGCTGGAAGACGCACATATGATCGACTCCGGCTCCATGAGATGCAACCCCCCTTATTTTTTATATGGTTTTACAGATGCCCCTTGGTGCTCAGTTTCCAGAGGATTCCTCAAAGATTTCATCAAAGCAGCTGCGATTTTACAGAGAGAGAAATCTTCGCCCGTGGCGGCGGCCACAGTGAACATGAGGGAAGAAAAACGGCTCGTGGGCAGATTTACGCTCCCAAACTTTCCCATAATAAGATTTTATCACAATGGCAAAGCGACTCGATATCCAGGTGAGAATTGAATCGTAAAACTGGAACCAGTTTACGGTACATCATGCATGTGATATTTTGTCGGTTTTCAGGAGGAAGAGGGGTGAAGAATTTGGTGAAATGGGTCCATTCGCAACAAGAAAAAGCGTCAAAAACCAGGACGGAATAATACTCAGAAATTTGCAATGCTGTATATATGCATTGCGCAGTCTCTGACTTTCGTTTGATTCCAAAGAGAAAAGCGTAAATTATTTGAGCATAAATGCTACTGTCAAAATCAATGGAAGAAATCACTCCATATAAGGTATGGTAATTATGTTAAACTTCAAAGTGATACAAGGGGTTCCAGTGTCAGTAGAGGTTTCTACTCACACCTGAAATTTTCCTCACAAATCAAGGGAATAAATCGACTGGCAATCTTTCCTTTGAAGCTTCTCGGCTATTTCATTATGATCAAATATTGTGTCACAAAGAGCAGCCCTGACCAATGCATAACTTGAGATTGATTATACATTTGTGTGATAAATACAGAGTGATTCCGATACGAGAAGAGTTTACTTCCAGTTCATATACGGTATTTTCAAAATCCAGGTACAGTACTGTATCTGGGAAGAAGGACATTTCAAATTTTAAAAATAATCAAGAAACAACACGTGCGGCCATTGTTCTATTGTCAGTATTTTTTCCTCTAGCCTTTTTTCTCCCATGTCCAAAAATATGCTGAATGCAGCTTTGAAATCTTAAAATTGGAATAATAAATTCAACAAACTGACCATGATTAAGTCAGAATGAATTCAATCTGAAAGCCCAGGAGTCACCAATTAGAAAAATTGAGCAAGGACTTTTTTGGTTTAGCAATCCAACCTGACAGCATTTGTAATAAGCCAATACAAACATGATAATTGAGATCAAAATTCCTCAAAAGACAGCACCTGTAACAGAAAAAAAAATTTTATAGATGCAATACAGGTTCAGTACATCTTTCAGCATTTACTGAGGAAGTACAGTATAGTATGACAAGTTTTTTATATAGCTTCATGCAATGCAATTCTTGACTGCTTGACTTCTGGTTAGCTGGGAGAGAAGAACCTGATCAACAAGAGTGCAACAAAACTAATAGCAAGTAGCCCTGAGTCTAAATGAAACAAGAGAACAATTCCCTGAATATTCTTCAAGTTGTACTGGAATCTACATGACCCTTCAGGACTGAAAAAAGCACTGACACATTCTTCTGAATCAGCATCTGAATCAGGTTTAACAATCACGAAGAACACAATTGAAAGCAATACTCCACAGTAATTATTAATGAAGTGTATGCTTCAATGACTTGAGCGATTCAATATGGAAATTATGGACACTTCAGAGTTATCCTTCATCACCGTTTTCTTGACTTGGATTGACCAAGAATGGATTGTTCAATCCTGCTTCATTCACTCAAAACATAATTGAGAGGATATATGAAAAATTTACATGCAGGGTCTTCCATTTTTCAAAATCGGTGAGAATATTCTTTTTTTCAAGTGACAGGTGACTTTTTTCCACATTACGAGGAAATTGATTGAGAAATATTTCGTCAAATATGGAAGTCATCGATAAGACAAGAAAAATGCTCTTGGACTGGTATATGCACAAAGATACTTTGAGAATACAAGCTCTCAAGTGGCCGAAAACTTCCAAAATCCTTCATAACACTGAGCCTGTACTTCACCAAAGCTGCACCGAGCGCTCTCTCTTGATTATCAAAGCATCTGTTCGTGCTCATTCTCATTTAGATGTCGCACCACAACGATTGGTAATTACACACCAGAGCTTCCACGGCTGATGCGAGCGACATCTCTATAATATAAAAAAATATCGACTGAAATATTCGAGAATCGTTGCAGTGATGTCTCATTCAATGAACATGACACACTGCGCCTCCACTTCATCCATTGATGAACACAACACACGTTCACACTTGAAAGTAGCAATCGGCCAGGAAGTGTTACTGTAGAAAAAGAACAACATTCAAATCAATAAAAGAAAATTTAATTGCATTTTCTACGCTACCTGCGTGTTTAGCAATCAGACCTTCGTTTTAGTTACCCAAGGACCAGAATTGCTTATACAGCGTAGACTGCATTTTTGATCAAAGGTGATCATAATCACAATTGAAATATTTTTAGCCCAATTTTAGAAAGTTATCTTCATGATTCCATGCTCTAAATACTGCATTTGAACAGAAAAAACCGAATACTGTACGCTGAAATTACAGTGAAAAACAATCTAGAAGCACTACTTTTTTATTTTTACTTCAGCAGTATCCAAATTACAATGAAAGGTCCGCAATTTAAAAATAAAAATCAACAAAGATGCCAGGAATGAATTTTTTGAGCAAAATACTGTACAATGATACACTGTAAAATAATTCGATTGTCCGCTAAGAATAACAAAATTTGAATTATTATTTTCAAAATATGTCTGACCCATTTTTAGAAACTTCGGTACAGTATACAGCACTGAATTTAAAAAATCTGACAATGACGGATTTAAAAAAATTGGCATGCAGGCAAAATTAACTAAAATATACCATGTCTCATTCCATATTGTTGATCCCAAAAATAATAATTGTGCATCCACTTTCTTCTCCAGCACTTTTCTAATAAACCGCCAAGCCTTTGAAACCATCACAAACATGAGCATCACAACAATCACGTGGCTGAATATTCAGCTAGCATTGCTAATTCATGCATATTTTCTCAGATCAATTCCGCAAATGTATCAGAAATCAAAGGATAGAAACCACGAACCAAGAAAACTTTCATGGCGGAAATCATTTCACCTTGGACCAGTCGACCTTCAAAAGGATTCTGCGTCTAGTTCTGAAGTACAGAATCCGGATTCGTTTCAAATGGTCATGATGAAGAGAAGACCCTGACCTTATCATTTTTAAACCTTGAACCTAGTGAGTGGTGACACGTAGAAGAGTGATTCCCCTATAAAGGTTAACAATGTGATATATATTTTTTCCTTTGACAATTCAATCCCTTGACATTGAAACGTTAGCCCACTGAAAACATTTCCGTGGTTTATCCATGGGAAATAGGGTTTGATTGATTCAAAAGCTGGTAGTCATCGGTATATTTTTTCCTAAATCCTGGACACCATATTCTTATTTTCGTTCTCATCTGATTGAATGCATCATTTTTTCTCCGAAATCCGAAATTCTGAATTGATTTTCTGCTATAGCAAGACAATCTGTTTTTGTGGAAAATGACTTTGATCATGAGCAATCGATACACTCGACGTCGCAGCATTAGTGTCATGATTCCTGCCGAAAACTTGGCTGTTGTGAGTATTTGTTTTTATTCATTATTCGTTATATACAATGCAAAAACGAGAAACCAGTCGATGTGAACACAAAAAATGCATTTTTACATTTGTCTTACCCTAATCAAGCATGTAAAAGGCATTTTCTGCTTTCTTAATTGTTTACATTAGAATTGTTACTTCATTTTTGGCAACCCATCAAGAATGGGTAGCAAAACATGGTAAACGCGAGAATGCCAATGATAAGCTCAAGATTTTTCAAGGTTGAAATATGGGGCTTTTTTAACATTCAGACAATGCAAATGATGAAAAGTGTGATCTGACGAAAAAATGTGGAGAATGCAGGGTTTACATTGGCGACAAAGCATTTTACAAAAGAATATCACTGAGTTTCTCGATGCTATTTTAAAATCTGAAAATATTGTAAATTAAGATCCTGAATATAGACAGCTCTAATTTGAAACGAAGGTTTTTAGACATTAATTTTGAAAACCTTGTTGCTGTACCAACGTTTTCAGTTCTACTAATTTTTGGAAATTCCTTGTAGGATTCAAATAATAACATTTTATTACATATCACAGATTATTTAACATTGCGTCATTAAAGTTTCGAATTGAAATTGAAGATTCGTTTCAACACTTATTTTTTTACCACAGGATTGCGCCTATACAACGCAAGTTTTGTTCTGCATGCTTTTTTTTTGGCATAAAGTTGTTATTTTTCATGAGAGAAGCTGACAGACTTCTGAAATTTTTTTAGCGCACATATTTTTATTTTTAAGCCCATAATCATTTAATCTAATAGTTCTTGGACGATGATTAACACTTGGAGAAGCTGTGGTGCAAAATATTCTTACGTGACTTCAGTATAATGAAACGATAATCTCCAGTATTTCAAGGAAACTCAGCTGAAATTGTGTCAAAATTTCATAGCCGTCTCAATTTTGCATGATTGAATCCTCGACTATGTTTTAGGACTGGAGGTCCATTTAATTTGAATGCGTAAAAAAAAACCGTGTCGAAACGCTTTCGAAGAACAACAAAGATCTTCCGAATTTTTCGGTCTCAGAAAATGAGAACATGACCCAGTGATCCAGTCGCTCATCATTCCAAATGAAAGCGTATAAGACCCTTTTGACGGATATCCTCATCTACTTGGGGATGATAAACATCGCAAATTATTTCTACTGCGCTCAATTTTTCCAATCTACAGACCCCCCGACCGTTATTTTTTCTTCTTAATTTTTTTGGAAAAATCCACAAGGGAATTTTGCTGATCCCGTTCAGCAATTCCCCTGACAGAAGGGAAGTATGTCCCGTATCCAGGAAAATTAGCTGAGTTTTTCAATCATCTTCCTGCGCAGCTGTCATCCGGAAGTCATCCGTTTGTTGTTGCCGCAGGAATGAAATATTTTCCAACATACGCCATAT